TAAAAAATACTTTGAATAGTTATTCAAAAAAAAGTATTTATCTTCAACTGAAACCAATGATTTACAATTAAAATTATGATTTATAATAAAATGACATCTTCGCAAAGATTTTAATAAAATTTGAAAAGTAAGTTTGGGAAAATTTTATGTATTGTTTAACTGGTAAAACATTCTTTATTGCCTTTTAGATTTTATAATATGGAAATTACTTGGATTTAAATATTTTTTGTATTGATTTGTTTATTTGTACAGATACAAAATTAAGTCGAAAATCGTTCTTGAAGTGTAATACTCAAATTATGTTCAGAATATGGCAATACAAACTAGATGACAATAAATTTTTTCTTAAAAAAATCTAATTACCTCACGATTCTTTTATAATTAACTTTGATTTTTACTATGACGTTATTCGAGCACCACATTACGAAATATCAGAAAACAGTTTAAATTCTACAATCGTAACATTTTAGTTTATGATTCACCATTTATAATACCATTAGTATTCCATCTTCGTCAAAAATTTACAAGACACGTGTTTATTGCGTTAACTGATGAAATAAACGACTACTAAAATATCTACACGTAGGTATTATAACTGGAAACTCCATAAAAGTCTGGAAAATGTTTAAAAATGCAAAAATCGATAGATGATGCCTTAGGAATCAAATTTTTCGAACGATAGGATAAAATAAATGAAATATCTACTATAAATAAATGGATTAAATATCTGCACGTGTTGGATCTGATAACCCATAAAATAGTATGATAATATATTTGAAATTGTCGAAATTAATAAATCAGTCCTTAATGACAAAATTTTTACCAATTTCCAACTAAATAATGAGATAAACAACTGAAATATGTACACAAAGGTTTTGGCTAAGGATTGCAAAAATTAAAAATTGAAAAGTACTGAATTAAAATTATTGAAAAATGAGCATATTTGAGCATAATTTTTTTTAAACAAGAAATCGGATGCAAATTTCACTCAAAAACTGCTATTTTTTGCACACTTTGCTTCATATTTCCAAAATGGCTGGGCCTGTCTTTGTCGAAAAACTAATCACCACTTCTCCACATCATTACAAATTAAATGTTTTTTGAATCATTCAAATCGAATGCTCCGTTCTCTCAAAGACTCTATTTCTTTTTTCTATCAGACTTTACTCTATCGCTTTTTTTATATCAAATTTTCACTAAAATAAAGTTCTGATGAATCATCAGGGGATGATCAGAAGGTAAATATTATGTTGATTTTAATTAATTACATGAGAAAGTGATTTGGAATAATTATAAAATAATTAAAATATTTGCTGTCGGCAAGATAATCTATAAGGCATTCTACTAGAGCGTTTATTGCTGTTGCACTTGATTATTTAATATAGATTTACGTTCTTTGATAAAAATGTTAAACATGCCGCATATATATATATATATATATATATATATATATATATATATATTATAAAGTTAATGTAATTGATCGAGGGCAAGGTAAACATGAGTATTTTGATACGACTCCTTGTCAGAATAAATCATATCGTATCATAAAAAAAATGGATACATTTTACAGTCACGATCGTATTAAAAAATTGCATTGCTCTCATTTTACGACATGTTTAAATACTTAAACGTTATTGTTTATTAATTAATACAGTAATTGTTAATTTCACGAAATAGCTATTAAATGAAGGTAATCTTGTAATAAGTATAGCACATGTTAGTAAAGGATAAGATATAGTTGGTAAAGGATATTTTATAAGATTCTTCATCATGGTAGGTATAGGATATTCTATAAGATTTCTTTTTAAATATATAAATCTGCAATCTTTTATCATAAATTTATTTGTTATATGATAACCGAACAATATTTTCACGTTCAACATGATAGACCACATTTTGCAGCTCTAAGGAGTATCCTCTACTCAATAAGAAGATATTTTCATAAATGATTCCCTGAAGATGATAAACTGATATATTTTATTCACTAAATTTATTCATGACTTTTGGCAATCATGCCACAATATTGGAATTATTGATGCACTTGATTTTATTGACTGGTAACCATAATATATATGTTCTGCCTACTGGATGGTGAATTGATTCTAATGGAATTAATTTCTGCATATTCTACTGAATTGATCCCAATGGAATGAATTTCTACATATCCTACTGAATCAATTTTTGCACATCCTACTGAATTAATCCTAATGGAATCGATTTTTGCATATCCTACTGAATTGATCCTAATGGAAACGATTTCTGCATATCCTACTGATTTGATTCTAATGGAATCAATTTCTGCATATCCTACTGAATTGATTCTAATGAAATCAATTTCTGCATATCTATAAAGATTTTACCATTATTGGGAAAATAATTCCAAAAATAAATTTTTGAAAAAAAAAAACGATAATAGTGGATTACTACCCTAGTAGGGTGGACTTGGTGATAGAGGATATTTTTGTAGGATCACCTGAAGCATTAAATTTAACTATATACTAAAAACACGACATGTATTTAAATAAAAAATGAGAGAAAAGACATATTTTTCTAAAAACCATGAAAAATTTCGCAATCACGTTGACAATACCAATATTGTTTCCAAAACTGAATCACTACCACATAAATACTTTTTCTATGAAGTCCTTCTTACCTTGACAATCACTGCTATGATCAGACATTCATAATTCCCCTAGACAAGATATATCGATTTATTGATTGATAATGATAAATCATATTGTCTTTTAATCTAAAACAATTTAAAAGAACGTTTGCAATTCTATTTAATAACACTTCAATTAGTTTGTTACTAAATACACGATAATAAAAGATTTATAGACGGTAATTTACCGAGATAATTACTGATATTAATATTTGAAAAAAAAACTGCAAATAACCAGTTAGATCAAAGAGTAAAACGCAGTTTCCTATAATTTGATAAATTGAAGATAATTGTATACATTCACGTAGAAACATAAATATTAATATGAAAATATATGCAGCAAAATTTATCAGCTCCAATTTTATTTGTCAAAATTGACAATTGGATCAACATCATTTGAAGATAAATAACAATACAAAATTTGCAAACGTACAAAAATACATAAATATTTAAACAAAATAATAATTTATGTCAATGTCTTGTGTAATATGTATTAAAACAAAGTATCCAAGAGAATGTGGCGTGATTGACAAGGAATTCCTTACTTTTTATGCGAATATCTCTCGTTTTATGATATCTCAGCATGTCACAATATAAGAAACATATTTATTTTATCCATATGTATCAAGATTGCTATTGTTTTGCACCGAGAGTAGTCCTTGAGCGATCAATAAATTAATTGGAATGTCTACATTTATCACAGTCAATAAAATCCTAACTCTTATAAATTTCTAAATGATAATAAATGATTAAATAATTGTTTTTATTAGATTGTTGTCTGATATTGTTGCAAAACATGCTATGGAATAAATATCCGTCATCAAGTACGAATATTTGCATTGGTCAATGAACTTTAAAATATTCACAATAATATTATCTTTCTATTATTCGCCGTGAAATTCTCATAAATTCTATTACTTTAAAAAAATAAATTGATAGGTAACCCAGATTGAAGAAACGCGTACGTCTCAATCTAGAATAAAAAACGAAAATTGCGATCAAATCAATTATGTACGCACCAAAAAGTGATCTCGTTAGAGTTCTAATGTTTTGTTAAAGAAGCCGTTATTTTTATTTGTAATTCTCCGTTGCTTTTTGTGAAAAGATAAATTAAGAACTTGAGCAGTTTTCATAGATGTGTTCAAGAATTCAGAAATGTTTTTGAAAAAAAACAACTCAAAAATAAAATAGTTAAAGTTTTCACCCAAATCCGATTCGTTTCCCAAAAATGTTAATTTCTTCTATTAAGTGGTCTTCCCAAATCGTATTTCTTCTTGACCATAGTAAAGACCAAACAGAAAATTTATGTTATTTCCACAATACGATATACGGACACATTCAAATATTTACAAAAGCCACATCAAGGATCATCCAAACCCGCTTGCAAAGGAACTTTGCTACATTACCAAGGCAAGATTAGAAAAAAATCATATTACATATAATAGATCAATTTTCAAAATATTTGACGATGGTCAGAAGGTTTTGTATTTTTAAAGTAATATTTTTTCTTACAGTTTTATTTATTGTCCATTTTAGGACAGGTGTAAAAATTATTATATAATTTTTTATTTCATAAAATCGGCTTTGTTAAATTATCAAAAAATTCTGTATCATTTGATCAAAATTATTTTAATAAAAGTCAAAGGAATAATCATAAACAACGACTAATTTATAAGCAATTTTGAATTTTATTGGATTTCTATGCAATTTGGAACTCAAAATACTCAATATAACTAAAATTTGTGAAAGATTTAAAAAATCCATTGAAATTCTATTGATGATAGATTTTGTATTAAGCTCTAGATTTGATGTATATAAGAGAAATCTAAAAGATTTATAATCAAAATGTTTTTTGTTTTGAAAAATATACAATTCAATCAGCGGTCAGGGAACTGTTTTAACCATTACCCCCAAAATATTTTTGTTGAATCGAAAAACCTCCTTCTATCATCTTTTAGAATATGACCTCCTAATGAAAATTTTGAAAAAAAAAACAACAGCTAAAAATTAAAACTAAACAAAATTAAATTTTTATCTAAATTTTACTAAAGCTTTCTTAGTGCATTGTCTAAAATTTAAATTCAAAAATTTCCATTTTTATTCCATTTGGGGTATTTTTTCCCATATTGTTTTTTTTTTAACATTCCCAACTTTTCCCAACTCCCATTTTTTTACATTCCCAAAATTTCCATTTTTATTCCATTTGGGGTATTTTTCCCCATATTGTATTTTTTTTAATTTGCCCCATATTGCATATTTTTTAAATCTATGACCTCAAAAGCAATTTTTCGAATTTCGAATATATATTGTCAATATGAATTTTTTTATCACTTACCCATTGCGGTTCCTAGGTTGTCTCGGTTGCAAAGGAGGCGGCGGTGGAGACCTCTGCTCCGGTTTAGCCTGAAGCGGTATCACCGGAACCGGTTTGTGTCTCACAGAAGCTCTGACGTCCGCTAACCGATGCTCGAAGTGACTGCCCCTGGCATTTGCAAAACTGTTCCGTCTTGAAGGTTGCACTGTTGGACTTCTCTTAGGCGTACTTTTATTAACAACTTGGTTTGTGTCCCAGCAATCTAACACATTCGGCGGAGGCGGCGGAAAAGGTTCGTCTTCTATACAAACTTCGTCTTCTATCACTGTAGGGGGACTTGGTAAAGGCGGTTCTGGGCTAGTTTTACCGATTTGATAAATACTTCTCAAGGCTGGATTTTTTGGAGGCCTTTGAGGCACCCAGTTATCCACTGTTATAGATGGACCTAGCACAACTGGTCCTTTTAATTTAGGAGTCAGCGTACATGTATGAATTATATTAACGCCAATGCAGGCTTTGCAGGAGGAAGATTGATCGTACTGTGGTAGCACCAGTGGAGGTGCATCATGAGGAATGCTAGATTGACGTCCGTGGTTCGGTATTAGATTTTCTGGTGAATGTGGCTGTTTGGGCTCAGTACGCGTTGATGACTTTTGTTCTTGACCATTAGAATCGCGCCAACCGGAGTATTCTGAAGCAGTGGAAGCTCTGGAAAAAAAAGTTAAGGGTCATAATCGTAACGATTTCATTAAATTGTAAAAATATGTCGGCCGTTATTTTTTTTTGTTTATATTATTTTAATAATTTTATTAAATTTTGTTATTTTACCTCCTCGAGGTGCTGCTAAAACTTTGCGACGAAGAATGCGTCCTGGGTCTCATAGTCATAGCCTGATTGACTGGAGGTGGCGCCTGCAAAGGCCTTGCCAAATGCGGTTCACTTCTCCAGGAGTCCTTTCCTGAACCCACCTGCCTTCCACTAGGATCATTGCCATTAATCACATTCACATTATTACTAACAATCGATTCATTTCTGGAATGATTCGTCGGTGATGTGTTTTGATTTTGCCCAGTGCTGGAATTTGTGTTCTTGCCATTGTTGGAGTTATGTCTTTCGTAAAATGAAAGCAAAGCTTTTTTCTGAATAGCTTTTAAAGCAGGGTCTGAGATTTTGTGACGTTTGGATGGTCCTAGAAAAGAATATCTGGTCGATTGTTGCCGCTCAAGTTCATTTATGCGTTCGGCAACACTTGGTTGAACTTGGTGAGGAGGTGATCTTGGAGCTCTAGGAAAAAAACAAATATATAAAACAAATTGCAACAAATACCTACTTTATACTTATTTATCAATTCCCTTACTTATTCTCTTGACCATTCGTAGTAGGTTTAACCATATACGTGCTAACTGGAAACAATTTGGAGTTCTGTCGATCCAATCTGGTCCTAGGTTTTGTCGGTTCTTCAGGAGCACCATTAGCTGGTGCTCCATTAATTAACAAAATGCTTTCTGAATTGTGTCTTTGTGGAGTTTTAACTCTGGCACTATGTGCAATGTGAGATCTTGAAGTTGCTGTAAAATAATATTATAATAAAATAGTAAATATAAAGATATTATCTAACTTTTTGTGTTGTCATCAAAAAGCATTTAGTGATAAAAAAGCACGTCTAATTGATGTAAAAGATAAAATGTTTTAGAAATAATTTCTTTAATTTTTACCTGTCCCCATGGAACTGCTGGCAACAGAGACGTCACTCATAGACCCATGCCATTTTAACGTTTCACTAGAACTGCCCGAATTTGAAGTGACGACACTATCGCTGCAAGAATGAATTGTTGCCACACTGTCACGTCCTTCCCTAGAAACATTTTCTCCAGATAAGGTATTTAAGGCACTGTCTCTTCTTAACCTGGAAAAAATTATCAAGGAGAAAATGATCAGTATTTAATTTTGAACAAAACTAAAGAATATTTCCAATATTCCTACCTGTCAAGAAAAGGAGTGGACATACTATCCGTACTGGAGACATAACTATGGTATCCTTCAGATTGGGCATATGATGATTGTTTAACGTGTTGGGTTGCAAGGACCTCATCGTAGGTCCTCGTGTATTCTTCCAACTCGGCCCTGGTCAACTGGGAACTGGTCGGAGAAAACTTTCCGGTATCCTATTACACAAAAATAATTATACAACTGCTAAAATCAATATTAATATGAGTGAGATAAAATTATTTCATCAGCTCAATATCATTATCATAAAAGAAAACAAATAAAACATTTAATCTTTTTCACATGGCTATAAATCAATCGAGAGACGCTTCATATTAATTCAACCCAAATTTAGCACTTCTACATCAAACATAAATCAAATATTCAAATTTTTCGCTGATATTGTCTTAACACCTTTCTATTATCTTTGAATTTAAATTTTGCCCGCAAAAATTTAAATCTGTGTTAATTGGAGATATTTTTTCCGACTTTGTGATAAATGCAGTTCCGTCACAATAAATTACAGAGAGACATTTTCCATATTTTACCTCACCAGCTATCTCACCTTTATCATATTTGCTAAATTATTCGTATAATAAAACAATCGCGTTGCAAATTTGTGTCACTATTTGAAAATTGAATTTCTCGAATTTGATTTAAATTTATTCGGAATATTACTAATTGCTTATAATGATTTTTAAATTTCAAATGTGTGTTGATGAAATCAATTTGACGGTTTTCTTTATTGATGCGAAATTTATTATAATTTGTTTATTGATCGCTATCTGCGTCATTTGATACTCGTTGTTCCAAATTGGAATGATACATTGTATATTTTCCATAATTTTTAAACCATGTGATTGATTGATTAATGATGTGAACATACCTAACGACTCTATACACCAGAATCTTATTAGATAAAATACTTTTTTCTTCCATGTACAATAACATAATTTGTTTTTATTCAAATTGCACACAAGAGTTAAGCATTAAGTATAAATCGTATAACTGAACAATTGTAGAAACTTAACCAAAAATTACCATTTTACTCTATTGCTACAACGTTAGATCATCTCCCAAATATAATATTAGAATCTTATATGACGTGCATCAAAATTCTGAATCTAGTCCAAAATTAAAATTCTATATACCAGCACTACGATGTCCTGGTAGAATCAATAAAATTCCTACCTGTGAAATAGTGGATTCTGCATATGACGTATTATAGGACTCCAAATCCTTTTTGGACAATCCTCGTAACGACATCTGGTCAGTATCACGTTCAGGTGGGCTGCTGCTTCTTTTTTCAGGTTCATCATGAATAGGTATTAGCCTGGTACTATCAAATTGCTCATAAGTTGAAGAGATGCCTTCAGAAGTAGTTGTGACGATACGACTCTGCTCCGATCTTTCCATCACCGTTTTCAGGTGCTAAAAAGAAAACATCGTCAAAAAAAGTAACTATCTGGTAAAGATGATGCCTTCCATTATCTCAAAATACTGAAAATCTGGTGACGTGTTGAGATATAGGATTTTCTATTATTTTTCTACCTGGGTGTTGGATCCCACAGAAGCGGCGTGCGACCTCTTCATGTAGGGCCTCATTGGAATTGGTGCTTGTTCCTTCGGGTAGTTGGTATGGTCCGTCCAGCTTTTGGAACGATGTGACCCTCCTGTAACAGGGCCTCTGACTGCCAATGGTATATCGGCTGCGGCCGCCGTCGGCCACGACGGATATTTCTCATGACCTGCGCCACTGTAATTCACACCTGGAAGAAGAAATTTAAATTAAAAATAGTAATTGAAATTAAGTAAATATATTTTTTATGTGTGCGTATTTGTAATAAGTTTTTTAGGGCACGATGAAAAATAACTGTTTAAATGTAATAAAACAGGAATTGGGCCAGAAACAAAACTCCCACATCACTTTGACATATTGATTTGCTATGCTTTCATTTTATGTTGTCATTATAAAATACACGATGGTGATTTACAGCTTTGGAACTATATAAATATAAAAAACCGTGTTTTTATAAAACAAACATTTTAAACTAAAAATTACTATATTCAGAAATTTTTGGATTGATTACCAGAGTAATTTATTATTTTACGATGGAAACATTAAATTATACTCTTTTCTTTATGTAAGCTGTAGTAATATATATTTAGAAATATATATATTAGGAATTTTGGAATTTATATTATAAATATATATAATATAAAATATAATATTATTTATAATGCAATATATAAAATCTCAAACCTTTTAAAGTTGCAGAGTCTCGAACAGGTGGGCTATTTTGTACAGAGGTGCCATACATTGACGATTGTGTTTGGGAAGTCCCTAAAAAAAAAACAAAAAAAAAAAACAGATTAATAATATTATATAAACAATTATCAAACATTGAATAAAGTTCAAATTTGTAAATTTATAAATTACTGATTAATTTAATTTATTACAAGTTACTAACTATGTATATCAGTAGATATAGTCATTCTTGTACTATTATTTTAATGTTGATAGCCAAAAAAGTAAAATAATAGAAAAGTAACTGTTTGACAATATCGATAAAGTTAATTACAGTTAAAATTTAAAATTAATAGTTAATAAAAAAATTAATATAAATCTCTTTCTCAAATTTCTTCAATTCAAATATAGATTTTTTTTGCTTTACTTAAGATATCTTCAAATTGAATTTAAAGTATGATGTAAAATTCAAAAAATAGCAAATACTAAAAAATCACTACTGGTTAAAAATGTGGAAGAAAATTGAACCCCGTAGGAATAATATAAAAGGCATTTACTAGAATATAATAGAATTAATTTATTATTAAAAAAACATTAATTAACTAAGATTTCAATATTAATTTAGGCTTGTAATTTAATTCAAGCAAGACAAAAATTTTGAAACAAACGTATACACTTTTTACAAGGTATTTCTGATGAAATCATGAGAATTTTATAAAAATTGTTATTATTATTTTAGACCATTTAAATTTTTTTTAGTGCTGTATCAAATCAAACATATCACATATATGCACGTGTTAATTAACTTAAATCTGTAAAATATTAAATAACTCCAACATCCATGCCAAATTGTATAAATTAAAAAAGCCAATGTCTTAATTAACTTAATTTTCAATCCGTAATTTATGGGATGATCTAATACTGATTTTCATAATAAAAGCATATAAACGAAACATCATCTCGTTAAATAACTGTAAAAGTTTATATCTGTTTTGAACTATATCATTTCATATGGAATTCGTGTCTATGATCGATTTATTGACAAGAAGAAGAACATTTACGTTCTTAATTGACGTTTATACCGAAATTTACGACTAGCAGAAGATGTAAAATTTAGATCACGTTTTAAATCGGAATCAAAATCATTTTTCGATTGCTACAGAGATGAATTCATATAATAAAATATAATATCATTGAAAAATTTTATTTTTCAAAAAATAGGAGCATTTTTTGAATTTTTGGTAAATTTTCATAAACTGAATTATTCATCAAAATTATTATATTTCAATATATCACTGATTAAATCTAATATTAAATTTTAATTTTACAGTTTCTCACGATATCTATTTTGATTGCATAATTAATTTCCTGGTACGGTCTCGTCTCTATTGTAAATATTACTTTTAGCGCTCATGTGTTAATATTTTGCGATAAAATTCTAGATAAAGTGTTGAGAATTATAAAAAAGGAAGTAAAGTGTGGTGTAATGTTTATTATGAGAATAAAACAGTTCCGCGAAAATTGAACGACAAGAACAGTGTATAATAGCATTCAATGTAATAGAAAATTAGAAATTAATATATTGATATTAAAAAATAGTCATTTATTTAAAATAAATCCAACTTTTTATTAACTACTTCCTTGTCACGCTGAATTTCAAAATCTATCAGAATTTACAAAAATATTTGTTTTCTCGGAATTCTGGGTGATTTGGATATAAATTTCATGTCCCATACTTAACCCATACGCCGTATTGCGCACAGATCTGGACCTATGCATTATTTCAGGTTTAAAAGTTCGTCGCGCACAGGTTGATAATGGGACATTTAAAAAGCTTTGATAAATTATACAAACAAAAATCATTTCAGTTTACTATACAAATTGTTCATCAGATTGCGTTGTAATATATTAGTTTCAATTAGAATTTACCTAATTTCGGCGAAATAGTCGGCGATACATAAGAACTGGTGTGTTCTGCTCGAGTTGTACTTCTTCCTGACATCATGAAAACACCATAGTAAAAACGCAAAGAAATGCGTTCTGGTTCAAAACTTGTCCCATTTGGGTCCAAACTAGAAAAATAAAAAAAGTATATAAACACGATACTGACGCATATGTGATATAAATTTAATTATGCTTGGTTGAAAAAATTCTAGATCAGAAACAACTTTTGTTAAGGATGGTAAACATCATCCAATTTATTTATATAATATATTTAGAACTTCTAATAATTGAGTGTTTAACAAATCTTATTATACATAATAACGACTTGGCAAAAATAAATCATTTATAAAACTGATTCAACATAATAAATTAATGTATAAAAAAACTGGTTCCAAATCATATTTATATGAAACAGGTTCACGCATGCAATATATATATATATATATATATATATATATATATATATATAATTTTATTGAAGATTCAGTTCTAAATATTAAACAAACGACCAGATTTTAATGATCGTACATCAATAATAATCACTTCGAGATTTTAAGTTCATAAATATGATGCGAACGGCATTAATTAAAATTTATGTCCTGAACCAGATCAGACAGTTGAAAAAATGCCAATTTAATAACGGTGGAGTGTATAATAAAATATTTTGTCAATAATAATATGGAAATAATAAAAAACTTGTCATCCAAGTATAATTCGTTAGCAAGCCTGACCCATACGTAAAAGATATTCGGTTCGAGTCCTAGCATTGACATGAAGTTTGTATTGTTAAAATTAAAATTACATAATTCAATAAGTTGAGTTGAATTAGGAGTAAGAAAAAAGATTAGAACACGCGAAGACAGAAAGAAGAATGAAGAAAGAAAGGAAGAAAGAAGTAGGAAAGAAATAGAATTAAGAAGTTGAAAGAATATTAGAAGAACGAGGGTAAGAAGATAAAAAGATTAGAACACGTGAAGATAAGAAGGAGAAGGAAGAAATAAAGAAAGATAGAAGTTGAATAGAATTAGAGGTTAGAAGAAGAAGCAAGGCTAGAGTGAAAAACGAAGAATATAAAGAATAAAATTGGATATGTAGTATAGGATATATAAAGATAGCATATGATACAATAAAAATAGTATATAATGAAAAGTTATAGGTACCTATAGCTAAATGGTCTAAGTAAGCAAGGCTAATTAAAAAAATGTAGAGGATATATTACAAACTAAATTCTGTTGAATCTTTTTGGAAGTTAATATCAAGATTATTATATATGCCAACAAGTAGCTTATATAATAATTTTTTTAATCTCCGCAGGAAGGACTGCATTGATGAGAGCCCGGAATGCAGATATGAGAACGGGCAGTGACCGCCGAACCAAAAACCAATGACAAGCGAATCTTTGGAAAAAAATACAAAACAAAAAATATACTTGTATATATATATATATATATATATATATATTATCGGTTCGATGAACTTTTTCGAAACGAAAATACGAGCTTTATATGGAACGCATACAAAGGTGAGCATTAGGTTTGCAGATAAAATCGACATATCGAAATATAAGTAGTAGAAAATACTACCATAATTAACAAATTTAGATTATATTAATTGAAGAAACTACCAATTCATTTCTATAGATTTGGTTTATCTTCTAAAATTGTTATGACAACTTTCCATTTTGCATTTATTTTTAATTAGCATTTTGTACCTGCATTGAATACTTTTGCTTAAAGTATATTTTTATGGTATGTGTAAAATAACCTAAGACTTTTTTCCATTTTTTTAAATTCTTGAATTATTAAAAATTTCTATAAAACAACAATGTTATAGAAATCATATATATATACATATATATATATATATATATAAATACATACATATATATATATATATATAAATTCATCTTTAATAATATTTTACTTGATTTTTAAATCGACAATTTATTTCAGTTTTTCATCTATATCGATTTTCGAACAGTTCAACATCCCTAATCCAAACGTTATTCAATACGTTCAAATTAAGAATAAAATTAATATAAAAGGCTCAAAGAATAACAGATCGAGAAATATGAAATAGTTTTTTCAGATCGTTTTTTTTTTTCATTTTTAAAATGTAGTAATGACTTAATGTATACAAGGTGCCGAATGGAGGTGTCTAAGCTATTGAAATAATTAATGCGTTTTTTACACATGTTGACTAATACAAATTTCGACAAGATTTTAATGTGATGCAAAGACTAAAGCATAAATGTCACTTTTTCAAATCATTTTTAGAAAAAACTGATCTAAATATGCCAATGATCGACTAATTATGGGATTGATTACATGCAGTTTTTTTCATACACGTCTTAAGAAATATTTTACTTAAAAGCATAATTAAATTTGTATGGATTAAATTTAAAGAGTGTTTCATTAAGTATCAAGGCTCACTCGTGGCTAGAACAACTGGACCTAAATTAGAGGTCCTGGGTTCGATCCCGATTCGAAAAGCCTGATGTCAAGCAGAAGTGACATTGGTTTTCACTTGTAAATAAAGATAGCAATATGTTTTCAAGTAAAAATGGCCCACATCCGTCATTGTTGATAAAATATTCACCCTATTACAGAAATTGAAATAAAATTTATCACACAACAGTTTGGGTTAACTTCTGTAAACTCGACCTAGTATTCTTAGTGACTTATGTTCTGATTGCTGTTCAAAATAATAACTAAATAAAAATAAGTATCTAATACTATTTTATATGTTAACTGCATACCGCAAAGTGTGATGTCATCGATATAATAAATTACATGGAGTAAAATAATTTCTGATCGTGACGAGTTTTAAGAGTCGCAGAGTTCACGGCAAGATTATTCAAGACAGATAAACGTAATATCAGGTACGGTTAAGTTTTCATATTAAAAAGGGATTGAAAAGTGTTCCGTTGCCCGAAGGTAATTATTCGAAGTGCGAATATTTTTTGTAGAATTATTTAAGGTCAAATGAAATCGTTGAGAGAAGAAACATCTCATTTTTGCAACATTTTGTACCATGGAGAGTAATCTAATAATATAGTAAAATATGATTTTAGAATTGGATCTCTTTAGTTGATTAAACTTACTGAATCATTTGAGAAAATAAGATTTTCAGTTTATTTATTACAAAGTCCAATTTCTCACTACATGAAAGTTATCATTCTGAAGTGTGCAAAAAACCATAAAAAATTAAATTCACACGTGTTTCATACGCGTTACCTTTGAGTTTAATTAAACTGGTACACATTTCAACAAATCTTTTGTTAAAAATATGATACTTTGACACATGAAGAGCGAACATAAATCAGAACGACGATCCATATAAAACAATATTACTGACCTATTAAAGTCGGTTGATGGACAAGTTTTGCAACAGCAAATGAAACGAAGTAAAAAAGACTCTTTGGTAAAGTAAAATTAAGGTGCCAATACTCGGTTGAAAGATAAATGTTATGACGATAAATGTTTTTATGAGTTGAAGTAATTTGCTATCAGGCGTTCACACATAAAACCTAACCTACAAAACTTTATCGTCAATGCAACTTTCGGATGACTCCTTGATAACACATACGTGAAGTTAGGTTTTTTGTGTAAAATTTTTACAGACCCGTATCAAAGCATTACCATAGCACACCTATTTTATCCGAGAATTGCTCCCTAAATCTTTCAGTACAATTTTAATGTTACTTTGAAATTGACCAAAGCTCAACTCAGTATTTACCATTTTGCAAGCAAGTAGCTTTCCAATTTATTATCCTGACTTACCTTTACGTCACATAATATTTTTTACCATTTTAAATCATTTCAATAAGAGAGAAATCACGAATGTTATAAATTTTCAATTCTAAAGTTTGTAAATGGCAAAGCTATTTACTTTATAATTGAAAATCTGTTTTTATCAGCCAGAAAATATTTAGAGAACTCATGAATGCAACGTCTGATGATGTAAATTCTTTATATAGAATAGTCGAAGCACGTATTGGTTATTCTAGAAATTGAATTTTTAATATGTTTAATTTTAAACAGACCAGCAAACTAAAATTACTAAAATTCAAGATATTGAAAAGCATTTTAGAAAAAAAGATCAATCAATACTAATGTTAAGTTTTGTTTATTTTACGCCATAAAAGAGATATACGCTTTTATTAAACAAATTACCCAATTATTATTAATGAAAAACTAAACTCTAAAAGGATAAAATAAATTAATAATATAAAATAACTAGTTGTAAATACAATTTTGCTTTTGGATATTATTAAAATTTAAAATAAGAATTAAGATTAACTAATTAGGTAATATGTTCAACTAGTTATTTCGAAAATAAATATTTTGACATCACTAAAAAGTGATTAATACGATTCCCAATCTATGTCTCTCACAAATACTTATAATATCTGTAATTGTAATAAATTGAACTAATTTACAGGCTTCACGACATCAATTTCGTATTCAAAAAGTGTATTTTACGTCAACTGTAATCACTAGATACTTACGAAACATAAAACACACATCATATGCTCGGCATAGATTCTGATTAGAATTCGCGGCGAAATTCAAAACTTTGATGATTTTTTTTAATTTAAACACTTATCGTATGCTATTTCAGACTACGACATCTATTGCTATAAAATGATTCATCAGAATCATCAAAAAAAATTCAACATTTAATTACGAAGAAACGGTTTGGTCGATCTTCACGAAAAACTAATCAACGCGATTTCCAATCAATATCTTCCGAACAGTTTCAGAATTTTTAAAATTAATTCTAGATTGTGGGCTAAAATGTGAACGAAAAATTCTACACTTTTCTACTAATTACAAAAAAACAGCTTGGCCGATCATTGCACAAAAATGAAAAACGTTAGTCCTCATCGAGCTACGTCGAATTCTTTTGAATTTATGAAAAATCCAGCTGTTTTTGAGAAAACATTTATGAAAAGTCAAAAATCGGCTCACATACTCTGCACAATACTTTTTCCAAATTTTGCCTCATTCGATTCAGAATGATTTAAAACGTCGAGTAAACAAAAAAACTAGCAAATCGGATTTTTTCGCGAAAACAAACTTCTCTTTCGAGAAGTAATGGTGGGTCGTATGGAAAGAGACAATTT